GGCCTGAGACGAGGTGCGCCCGCCCGCCCCGGGGTGGTGGTGGTGGTGAAGGTGGTGGTGGTGGAGATAGTGGTGATGGAGGAGATACTGGTGCTGGAGGAGACACTGATGGCGGAGATAACTCTTCCTGGCACAGGGATGTAGACCTGTTGGAGCCCGTCCAGAGGAGGCTCTCTCAGAGGGCTGGAGCTCCTCTCCTACAGGTTGAGAGAGTTGTTCATCCTGGGGTTGTTCATCCTGCAGAAGAGAAGTCGCTGGGGAGACCTCGTAGCAGCCTTTCAGTACCTAAAAGGTGCCTACAGAAAAGATGGAGAGATATTGGTAGCAGTAGTGACGGTGGTGGTGATAGTGATGAAGGTGGTGGTGGCCTCCACAGCCCAGCCCTCGCCTGCTTGCCCAGCCCGCCATGGTGGGTTGTCCCCTTGGGAGGTGGCAGTTAGTCACGGGGAAGGTTGAAAGGCGTTTGATGCAGTGTCTCCTGAAGATCAAGGGACTGGTGATCCCGGCTGTTGTAATTCTAAGATGATGGTGTAAGGAGATCGTGCCAAACCCAGATACTGTGTCAGCAGCCATCCATGGGGTGCACAGCGACCCCACACTCCTGTCTGAGCAACTGGTGTAGCATCGTTAAAAGAACTGTTAAATGCAAGCTCACCCTCTGGATTCTGCAAGGGTCTGGAAACTGTTGACCTAGCAGAGACAGTTAAGAGTGTGTGCTACCCAGAGAGGTGGTAGACTCACCATCCGTTTAAACGTTCAAGGTCAGGTTGGACGACGCCCTGAGGAACCCAATCTAGTTGAAGCTGTCCCTGCTCATTGCAGAGGGGTTAGACTAAATGGCCTTTAAAGGTCTCTTCCAACCCAAACTGTCCTATGACTCTACATCACATTCGAGTTCAGCACCAAAAGTTGTCTACAGAGCAGGACTCAGCCACTAGGCTTCTCTTTTAAGATGCTGATTCTCCAGGACACATTGGAGGTTAGTTTGTTGATAGTAGGAATAACTAGATTTCTTGTTTATTTAGGCTGGCCTCAGTAGAGCCAGCAGGTCTTCTTTTTCACATGAGGTATGCCCTCTTTGCAGTTGGAAAGAATATAGGACCCAATGGCTTCCCAAGCGATGACACTGAGGATTTCAGAATAGTTGCTAGCCACACCTGTGACAGGCAGAATGATGGTCCGAGTTCTTGGACCATCAATGTTCAGTGATGGTTCAATGATGGTTCCAGTTGTTTTTCATCAGTGTGTTACATGTAACAAATAAAAAATCCAGAATCAATTAAAGATACGGAAAGAGGCATGTATGTGGTAAAGAGTAAAATTCACCTAGGATTTGGCTATCCCTTCTGACCTTTGCTTAATTTTGGTGGGGATGCAGAAAGTTGGGATAGCTGAGCCTGCTGAGCAACGTGCCTTTGGATGAGGTACTCGACTGTCTTGGTGATGGACAAATTGCAGTGCCAGTGTTGGAACTGACGGAAGAGCCCAGTGTTTTTCTCTTAATGCTGACTAACTTAGGATCAATCAGCCCAGCCCTGTTTCGCAGACTTTATTGCTGGGCTGCGGTATACGTATATGTGTACATGGAATTGGAAATGTACAGTTTCTATTGCTGTTTTATTCCAACAGCCTACTGAAACAGCTTTTTAGTCTCATATGCTAAAATGGTTTGGATTCTTTTGTCAGATTTTTTTAAGATATTATTTGCTTCCTTCATTTTTTTTTTCAGACCGACCCAGTGGATCTGGACTATAAGTTTGAGTTAGCTATTTACTGAGAAAACAGTCTTAATAATGTAAGCATTTTATGGGTTCCTCTGCAGAAACATTTGATTTGTTCCAGGAAATCACATGCAGACATAACACTTCCTTCATGGCAACTGTGTACAAGTTTTGAATTGACAGAGGCAATTTATCTGTATCCATGGACTGCTAAGCAATACTTTTGGCAGCTCCAAATAAGGGCTAGAACTCATTCCCTGGGAAATTTTCTTCCTTGTTGAATCACTTGAGATTTATCAACAGGACTGTGGATCTGAGATAAAATGACCCATCTTTGTGAGAAATCTCTTTCTGGAGTTGACTTATGGGAAACAAATATAATTCATCCTTGCTTGTGCTACATCTCTACTTTATTTGAAAAGATATGTTTCTGTATTAATTTCCCCTCCCACATCTAAACTTTTTCTCAGTGTCTGGCCAGAGTTCACATTCCCTTGTTCCATGTCTGGTACTTTTCTTTCCTGAAAGAACCTCTTCAGTATTTTTTCATCCTGTGTTTTTCCTTTCCTCATGGGTATGTCTCCTTTGCTACTTCCTGCAGCATCTTTTTATAACTTTTTTTAAAATTATTATTATTTTATTCATGACATCATGTGGTGGTGCCCTTCTTTCTTCCGGACTTCTTTCAAACAGCAGAGACAAACTTCTGAGATGCTAAAACTTGCTGCATCTTCACTAAAACCAGGAGAAGCAATGCGACCATGCAGTAGCTGAGAAATTGGCCCTGGACTTGCTTCTCTTGCAGTTACCTGCTTAGAATAAAGTTTAAATGACTGTTTATGTTTGTATTGCTTTAGAGTCATAACACTTTACATTTCCATTTAGAATCCTAAAAAGGATTTGGCGTCTACATGCTTTGATTAATCCCTGAAATTTTATGCTTAACGGTTATTTCTGGAAAGAAGTGCTCACGTGTCTTTATAAGATTAATGACATTGTTATTTTTATCTCATTCCCTAGCAAAGACAGCAGAACCTGGAAGTACTCAGCGTCACAACTCATTACATAAATAAATAATTTCACATATTCTTTCATGCTTTCTGTATTAAACTCTATGATGTTCTGTAATCTGACAACTTGCTTGTCTCACCATGTCTATTTCATGGCCCTTTTGGGCAGGAAACTTAGGATACTGGGACATTATTTTTCTCCCTGCTTAAACTAGATCAAGAAATGAGCTGGCTGCTGATGCAATCTCAGAAGGCAGTGGTAGAGAATCCTGGAGCAAGACCTGTATTATGTCTAAAGCTGCTCTCCCTCTGCTTCACTGGGGACTTTTTGGAATTTATTTACCTTCAAGACTTTCTCCTATTGATGCAGAGAATAGAAACCTTCCCAGTCATAAGCTAAGCCTTCATCTCCTGTGTCTCCGTAAAAGGATTTAGTGACATGCATTGTTTGATTCCTGATGCCACCCTGATGTACAAGAGTTCCAAAAATCTTTTGACATCAGCAGCCGTTTATCAGTCTGAGTTCTCTGCTTTATCAGTGGTCTCCAGTGTAGTTGTGTGAATGCTCAGGAATCTGCAGGGAAGCCTGCAGATTGCGTGGTGCCTTCTCGGAGGTCAGTGTACCTCAGTAATAAATGGCATACGCTCAGTTCTGTAGCATAGTTTTGTGAAATTGCCCAAGTCCCAGTGCAGGAGCTCATTAAAAGCCAAAAGGGGAGTGATTACATGGTACAATAAGCAGTACGTGAAACGTGCAGGCTGAACAAGACAAACTCCAGCCAGAACACTTCAGGCGTGTAAAACAAAGGAGTAAAACAAAATGTGTTGGTGGTTAGTATATAATAACGTGAGTCATCCACAGTGAGCAGAACTTAAAAACTTGGCTGCTTTTACATAATCTGAGGGTGAGAAACTGTAGTTGGAGTCTGAGCATGGAAATTAAACCCTAAGATATCCTAACAAAGCTCTGTCTTTGTGTACTTAATAATATCGTAGTGGGCATATGAAAAATGTTAATTGAAGTTTTTTTGTTTAGTTGCCGACATTTCTCTAGCTGCTTTTTTTACCAGAACAAAACAGAAAGAACAATTATATGTAGGCTGCAGTCTTCAAGTGTCTATAAATTCATGTAACAACTATCATATAATTAGCTAATCAACATCCCACATGCAGCTGTGGCTACTGACTCACTGTCAATGAACCTCTGTCCTGACACAAAGACAGCATCTTTGTCTCGGTTTCAACTTCATTCATCGCCATTGTTCTGTATATTTGTGTAGCAGCAAGTTCAATGAGTTCATACTTTATATTCAAGACAGTGGTTTGATCTGAACTTTATTATGAAAAAAACACTATATGCTAGTTATATTGTTGTTTAAAAAAATCACTTTGATTATATCAGTAGGTTTGTGGGGCTGGTATGAGCAGTGTTACCGAGGCAAGCTGTTCTATCCAGGTGTGATTAAAAATTGTTGGAATTCTGGTCTTACTGTATTTGCTTTTATACATTTATTTATACTACCTCCAGATTTTTAAAGATACCATTTAAAAGTAGTGTTTGCATCCTTTGTTTTTTTCAGCTGTGATACAAAAAGCAAGGCACTATAAGGAGTGGGCTTCCTTGAAAGTAAAATTTTTGGCTACAATGCTTTTGTAAATGAGTAGCTAGTCAATTGTCATATGAGGGGATGGCCAGTTTCTCATAATAGTAGTCAAAGTCAAAATAGTCTAAAGAATAGGTGAAATAAACAGATATATTATGATAAAAAAACACAGAAGGAGCATTGTCTTTTACACGCATTTATTTCTTGATAGAAACATTACTTGCATGAAGAAGAAAACTAAGTACATTTTTATCACTGATCCTTATACAACACCAGCTTTTGTAAAAGACTTCCTCCAAGGTGCGTGTGCAATCATGTCCACGGTTGACTGCAAGCTCAAATGTTTTTCCCTTGACTGGCCACTTGAGACTTGGTCATTCCGATGTAGGATAAAAAGGAAATTTCCTCAAGGAC